GTGAGGGGCTCAGCACAGGGCCCGGCCGGCAGCCACAGGCAGCTGCACCTGGGCTCACTGGGCTCACTGGGGCGTGAGGAGCCGTGGTCGCGGCACGCGGCACGTACTGGGGCTGCAGCCACCAGCAGCCACCAGCGGGTGACCATCTCATAAGGAAGGTCCTGTGAGGAGAACGAGGTGGCGAAGGACTGGGACTGTAGGTGACCTGGTGTGCACCTGGGTCTCCAGTGACGCAGAGTTGACAGCCTTCGGGGTGAGCACGGCGGGTTTTCGCAGCACGGCCTGCCCGCAGGACACACGCTCCCTCAGCGGCTGGAGCCTGCTGCTCCTCACGGGACATAAAGTGCTTCAAACCCTCTAACTTGGACACAAATAAAAACCAACCTTTTTATTGGACAAATTTAGTTTTAATATATTTTCATTGATTTTTAGAGAGAGCAGATGGGAGAGGGCGAGGTAGAAACATTGAAGAGAGAGAAACATCCACCAGCTGCCTTCTGCACGAACCCCACTGGGGATCAAGCCCGCAACCCGGGCACGTGCCCTGACCTGGAGTCAAACCGTGACCTTCTGGTTCATAGGTCGATGCTAAACCACTGAGCCACGCCAGCTGGGCTGGACAAACTTGAGCACAGAATCTTTAACGAAGTCTTTCAGATGTACTATATTGTGCCGGCCCACACAGCCAGGGTCGGTGAGCCTGAGAGCGGGCGGTGGAGGATTAGAAAAGACAGACAAGGGAAGAAGGCTGGGGCTGGGTGGGACACTGCCCTCTCTGATGGAGAGACAGCGCCACGGCCTGCAAGCCGAGTCTTTATTTCACAGCAGATCCCACGAGGCAAAGGAAGGGCGTGGTCACAACGTCCTCGTGGGTTTCGAATCCACTCAATCACATGCACCTGGTCCAGTTTCGTTTACTTGCTGCCCCTCCCGCAGCCCACGTCACTCAGCCACGTGGGCCCACAGGTTCGGACCATAACCGGTCCAAACGCTCTGTTAACAACATGTCTGCCCCTTCCTGCTGAGCGAGCCACGTCACTCAGCCACGTGGGCCCACAGGTTCGGACCATAACCGGTCCAAACGCGGTAGCCGCTCTCCACGCTCTGTTAACAACGTGTCTGCCCCTTCCTGCTGAGCGAGTGGAGCAGAGTGTGTCTGCCCAGAAAGTCCGGGGCTGCTGTTGGGACCGCAGGGCCCTGAGGTCGCCACTCTGTCCTGTGGCCACTCGTCTCGTCCGTGAACCAGGCGCAGGGGCTGTGCGGACTCGGAGCCTGTTGTTCTGCTCTGTGTCCCGCACCCAACAGACTGGCCGCAGGCAGCCCAGGCCCCATCCTGACCGTTGGCCCCGGAACGCCGGCCCCGCGTCATCCCTCCTGGTGGCCCCGGGAAAGCACAGACATGCACGCTCAGCACGGGCGCGGCCGTTACTCCTTCCTGAACAAGTCATCCCAGTGGCTCTCAGACGGACGCGGTAGGTTGTGGGGTCCTGACAGAGGATGTGAAATCGGCCTCAGAAAAATCCAACCTGCAGGCTCTCGGCAGGGATTCCCACCAGCAATCGCCTGCTGCTCCCCCGTCTACCCCCCACGCAAACCGGTCAGACTGGGCCGGGGACCGGGACCTCCCCCCCCCCCACCCCCCCCGGGAC